ATACGTAATAGTAAATTGCGAATAGATGCAAGCATTAGCCGGAGAAGGGGGAGTTCTGTGCGAAACGATGGCGACGAATATGAGGGGCCCGTCTTGCGATCACCCGTCCACAGCGTGTAGAAATTCTATGAGAGCACGAGTTGATTGAGAGAGTTCGTTTGTGGCGAAGAATTTCAACCAAAAATGTACAGAGAGCGAGGTGCTCAACCGAGTCCGAACTCCACATATAGATCCATTGTCGACTTAATATCACCAAAAATGGCAAGTCTCTCTATGGTTGCCTACGCTGCTTCTTCTTCTCCTTCTTGTTTTTTTTTTATTCCAATGCTCTCTTCTCAATTTGCGTTTTTATTTGCCGTCAACACGAACACTGGCCTTCGATGCATACACACATATATTCAGTATGTGGTACAGATTCCACCAAACTATTAATTTTTGTTCGATTCGATTCCTTCGCTCTCGCTCGATCTCTCGCTCTTGCTACCGGCGGAGTGTGTACGCGAGCGCATTCGCAGTTTCCATTTTTTTCTCGAATATTTCATTTCAATCGATTTTGCGCCTGGTTGCAACATTTGTCTTTCACAATTGTACTTGGATTTGCGGCTCGTTTCTCATTTCAAAAAGTTATTGAATTCAAGATCAAGGTTTAGACGCAAATAAACCAGAATATAAATAGATTTAGATGTGTGTATGCTGTTCTATCTCTGTTTCACTCATTTGGAATCCATCGAACAGCCAATTTCTTCTCGTTGGTGCGTTTCTCTTTCTCTCTGTATATGCTGACTATGTTATGTTATACATTTTTTTTCTTCTCTCGAATCATTCTGATTCTTAATCTGGGTTCTTTCAATTATATTTTGAAACTACAATACCATTTACATGTTCTTTCTGGAAGTTGTTGCATTTCAGATGTGATTCCAATATAAAATGTATGGTTCACACAGCAATGCGAACTCTTATTGGTATGGCATGGCGAATGTGATGTGTTCACCGCCATGTGATCTCTGCGCAGAAAGAAAGAAAGAGAGAGAGAGAGAGAGAGAGAGAGAGAGAGAGAGAGAGAGAGAGA